CAAAATTAAATAGTTCTCCATAGTTTATCGGTTGTAGGTCCAGGTCCGCATAGGACCGCGTCTGGGTCTGGACTCGGACTGTGGTCCACCTGTTAGTGACCTCTGGTCACTAGTCTATGTTGGTTGTTATGAAAGCATAGATGACACCACTGCACTCATTAGGCTACCAATGCTATCAAAATAATTATTGGTAAATGATTATGGACTATCCAGTATAGCTATGTTTTGAAACAACTTACTGTTTAAACAGTAAACTGTAAAATTCCACAGTCCGTGTGTGTAACTGTGAGTGTGTGAGTGAAATACAATAGCTGTTTAATTCTAATAGGCCTACATGTAAAAAGTTTAGGGTTGTCGTTTTATTTCTAATGTCTGTTTACTATTGCTTTTACCATGTATGCATGCTAACCACCATCATGATATTTATTTGCACTATTTTTGAACTACATCTAATTACCTAAACTACACCCAATATCATGTCATTTCGCACTTCATTGTAGGATCTTTCTTGGCAGGGTTAGTTCTTTGTTTGCCAGTTACTATTTTTAGCATGTATCTTTCATAAAGCCATGGCATATTTCACTCAGTTACTCCCACATTTCACTCTGCTATTGACCTATTTCACTCAGATACTGCTATAATTTGCTTGATTATTGCCATATTTTACTGTGGTTAGACTTTTAGCCCACCTAATTAGCAAACTGATGACACTATTACTGTGATGTACTACATTTAATCCCACAAAACTAACTGTTCATCACACTGCAAGAGGTTTGTACTAAAAAAAGGCCGTCTTGTTTAAGAGAAGCAAATGCTATTTTACTAGGCCAGCGTTACATGAGAACTTATCACATTCCCAAGCCCAATATATTATTTTCCAACCAAACACAGAGACTCACTAGATGTTAACAGTGTAAAATGCTGTCTGTGCAGAATACAGTTATTATTATAAATTATTTTGTAGCATAAGGCACCCAGATGATAAATTTAAAGTATTTAGCCCTCTACTCCATGTTGCTGCCATATGGCAACAATTACTTTATCCCAAATGTACTAAAAGGCAGCAATATGAAATCCATATTTGACTGTTTAATTGTGGAATGGGTGCTTCACTTTGCAAAGACAAACAATGGATGACATTACACGACGAGGAAATCTTGTTTGCACTCCTTTTTTCCATGGACACTTGACACTGAGAAGGTCATGACCTGAGGCCTCCCAAAGTTGACTACCTGTTCAATATTTAGGCAAAAACTGAATAACTATCTAGAGTAAGTTACCTTTTAAATTTTATCATTAAAACCAGTTCAGATGTGATACATATTTTTATAAAATAGTAAAAATGAATTTGCGCTTCTTGTCTGGTGATGAAACTTTTATTCAGACATAAATGCAGATTTTTTAAAAACTCTCCCAGCTGATCAGAATTCCAAAATGATTAGGCTTTGTTTTACAAATCCTTAAATTCATGTGTAGTAAAAATGCCATTAAGATTATTATTACACTTGTATTTTGAGTATTAACGACTTGCGTTATTTATTTATTTATTTTTAATTTTCTTGTTTGCCCCATGGTTAGTTTTCATTTTAAATTTGCTGCATGAAATGTATTTGTAAAGCCTTTTTCATCCTGATTGGATTAAAAAAATAATAATTCTACTAAGGCTTTGTTCACACAGCAGGTAAAAGTGGCCCAAATCTGATCTTTTTCTTCATATGTGACTCAGATGTGTGTCTGTGTGTCAGTGTGAACAGATAAACACACTGAATCTGACATTTTCAATTCCGATTTGAGACGCTTTCATATGTGGTACTGAAATTCGATCCGATCTGCGGCAATGCGACTCAGTCTGAACAGCCAGATCGGAATTCATGCGACTTTTACATCAATCCAACTCGACGTTCATCATAATTTCGCGCTGCTGAGACTCATAAACATTTAGTCTGATGTTTCTGTACTAAATTAGAAGACACTCATCTAAAACCCTCCGTGTTTGAAGAGGTTTCTAAAGAAATGTCCGATCGCGGCCGCAGGAGAACGAGGCTGCAGCGTCAGAGAACAGTTAAAAGTCTGAAAGCAAAATTTAAAGAATCCGAGGAGAACCAAAGAAGTGACCGCGCCCTTTTTACGGCTCCAACACATTCTGGGTGACGAGCCCAGCTGTCAGTCAGTGAAGCTTCATGATGGCTCCTGTGATGCTGGTGAAGATGAAGCTGATCCTCCGGGAGCGACTGGCGCTCGTTGGCAGTCGTGATTGTTTCCCTCTGGATGAGCCGTGAAGCAGCGTGAAGCTGATCTTTTGCTCATGCGGGTCGGTTTAGGAGCTGATCTGTTTAGACTGCCACATACAGACCACATTTAAAAGATAATGTGAACAGACAAACAAAACAATCAGATTTGGTGAGAAAATCAGATTTGGGCCACTTTTACCTGCTGTGTGAACGGAGCCTAAACGATTTTTGTCCAGCTTATGTACTCACATTGTTAACTCTGTGAACACTCAAAGAACCCTTTGTGTGATTAAAGGGTTCTATGCATTGTTAAATGGTTCTTCAGATTGACGGAGAATGTGTTTTATGGTCCTGTATAGAACCTTTTTGAAAAGGGTTCTACATAGCACCAAATACGGTTCTGCTGTTGTTACAGGCTTGGAAACATAACAATAAATGAAGACGCATTTTACATGTATTTTTATCAACCCCTGACCATTTTTGTTACTTCCACCCCTCATTCAAACAAACTTAAGAGTCTCTTAGCTACTCTCCCTCATTTGACATGCACTTCACTGCAAAAATTCACATTAAATTAACGATATATTAAATGTGAAATCATCGTGAAAATGTGAGCAGGCCAGCGCAAGTATATTAGCATGCAAGTATTTAACATAAACCATAAACCAAAACTTAATCTATAAAAATGTTTCCAACATGAGCATAAAGTTTTACACCGATCAGGCATAACATTCTGACCACCTCCTTGTTTCTACACTCATTGTCCATTTTATCAGCTCCACTTACTATATAGGAGCACTTTGTAGTTCTACAGTTACAGACTGTAGTCTGTTTCTCTGCATACGTCGTTAGCCCCCTTTTACCCTGTTCTTCAGTGGTCAGGACCCCCATGGACCCTCACAGAGCAGGTACTATTTGGGTGGTGGATCATTTTCAGCCTTGCAGTAACACTGACGTGGTGGTGGTGTGTTAGTGTGTGTTGCGCTGGTACGAGTGGATCAGACACAGCAGAGCTAACACACCACCACCACATCAGTGTTACTGCAGTGCTGAGAATGATCCACAAATTTCTTGATTCTGATAAAATTTCTTAAATTCTAAAATTACTGAAAGTCTAAAAAAAGTTTGCACAATTTCACAATATTATCATGATGTTCTTGGGTTCTTTTTTTAAAAGCAACTTTCATTATGTGTCTACATTGTTTCTTATTTTTATGATGATTCTGTTTTATTTTTTATTTATATCTATACTACATCTGTACCATATATTTGATTTATTTATTAATCCATTCATCTGTTTATTCATCTGCAGCCACTGAAAAAAATAAATACAATAAAAACTGTGTGGGTTCCTGGTGGTTTTGTAATGACATCTAATGGTCATTAGTGGTAGTTTTTGTTTTCCTGATGATCAATATTAAGTGTAGAGGACTACAGTGGTTTTCCAGTTGACCTGTGACTGATTGCAGATGCATTTTATGTTTTTCTAATGGGATCTAAATGTGTCCTATAGAAAGTAGTGGTTTCTAATGGTAACCATTAAGCCAATTCCCATTAAAAGGAGTTTTAAAGATCAGCAGGGGCACCTTTGAGGTTTTCTTCTTCTGTGGCCTTTGTTTGTAATTCTCCTGCTGTTGGCTTGTTACACAGTTGATTAGTCTATGATTGTCACAGTGTAGCAATCAATATTTATGTTAATATTCATTAATACATTAACGAAAATATCTTAATTTTTTATTTAATTAATCAATTTGCAACATTTCATCACTGTTACAATGACATACACGGTAACATTAAGAGACAGATACAGTACAATTAGTTTTAGTGCTGAAAACAGATCTGAGAAAAAAGATTATTAATGAAAATTAATGAAATGTATCAACAAGAGTAAATAAACAAACATATAAATAAATATTTAAAAAAGCAAAAAGGGAAAAACACACAGCTATAATACCTCGATCCACATTTTAGGCCCTATTAGCCATTTCACTTTGGAATGCTAACCGACTGGGAGGATTTTTACAGACTCGGCATTTATATAAGTAATATTATTTAATTAATTAAGTGTAATATTCTCAACCAAGTATTCTGTCTTAGAATTGTTTGTAAAAATACAGTATTTTATACATTTATATTCAAAGTCAGTAATCAGTATTTTGTTCTTAACCAGCCATAACGATCTTTCCAAAACCAGAAAATCTAGAAAGCTTGCATGATTAAAATAGATGTTCTAATATTTCGGTAAGCATGAACAGAAGAGAGAGAAGAAGAACAGAAAAAAGAAAAGAAATTAAGGAAAGAAGAAAAAGAGGGGCAAAAAGAAAAAGAAAGAATGAAAGAAAGAAAGAAAGAAAGAAAAAAGGGGGGAAGCTAAAGGAAAGGCAGTGTGCAGTAGAAGCACTTTAAACAGCCAATCGGCTTCAAACACATTATGATGTCATAATGCAATAGAAATTCAAACGGTCTCACGATTCCACCAAAATAAACAATATCCACCCAGCATTTCTGCTCCAGCCCAAACTAAAGCACTAAGGACTCTTAACTTGCTTTCCACGTGCCGATAACCTTCACCGTGTTCCGGAAGCACTGCGCACACGTGCGTGTGTTGCAACCGTACATCTATGGTTGCACCCGCACTACCGGAAGTGGTCACGCTCCAGTCCGGCCGCTCATTGGCCGTGTCCGAGGAGCGTCACTGGGTGGCGCGCTGCGATTGGTCGAGGCCGCTCGCTTTCCGCTATGACGCAACTCACCCTGGCGGCGCGTGCGCGTTCCCCCAGTTCCACTGGAGTGAAGATGGCGAGTTTGTGTGCGCGCGCGGCGAGGCAGAGCTGTCTCAGGCTGCTGTCACCTTCAGCCTTCAGGTACCTCTAACATCAGGGTTATTATGGGGTTTAGAGCGCAGCTACACCTGAGCTCTGACCACAGACCGGACCCTCTGCTGCAGTGACCGTAGAGCAGGCTGTGTGGTGCTGAGCTGCTCTCTGCTCTCCAATGCTTATCTAACTAACCTGACTCACCCTGACTCTAATTTACTCTATACATTTACTCTTCTGAGGCTGAATGTGTCTGAATGTGTCCAGCTTCAGCAGTGCTGTGAGTCGGTGAGGCTCATCCTACCTGCTCTGTTCGGTTTGATGTTCAAGGCTGCAGCTCTGAGTGTCCTCTAACCTCCTAACTGGTCTGGGAGCTTATAACTGATATATCCATATAAAAGACTGTATTCCTCATTTTATGTTCTGAAAACAGTCACATACATTCATCCATGACTTCCTTTGATCTCCCACCCTTCTTTTTCACGTTTTCAGAACATTATATTTCTCATTTTATGTGCTAAAACGTGAGAAGGAAGAGTGGGAGATCAAATAAAGCCATGGATGAATGTGTGCAACTGTTTCTAGGTACATAGTTAAGGAAGGTGGTTCTCTTTAGTAAAGGAAATGAACCATTTGCATGCTTAAACGGTTCTTTGCACCGTTAAATGGCTCCTAAGTTTGATGCAGAATGTGTTGTATATGTTCTGTATAGAACCTTTTTTGAATAGGGTCCTATGTAGCACCAAAAAGGGGTCTGCTCTTGTTACGATGTCAGATTGATATTGACAGAAGAACCCTTTTTGGGGCTATACAGAACCATTTTCAAAAAGGTTCTATTTAGCACCAAAAAGGGTTCCTCTATGGTTACAATGTCAAGGTTGTCACAATAGAGGAACTTTTTTTGATGCTATAGAGAACCATTTTCAAAAAGGTTCCATATAGCACCAAATATGTTTGTTCTATGAAGTACCAAAAAGCGTTCTGCTATTGTTACAATGTCAAAGTGATAATGACAGAAGAACCCTTTTGAGGGCTACACAGAACCATTTTCAGAAATGTTCTATATATATCACCAAAAAGCGTTCTGCTGTTGTTACAATGTCAAGGCTGTCACAATAGAAGAACCCTTTATGACGCTATACAGAACCATTTTCAAAAAGGTTTTATATAGCACCAAATGTATAGGTTCTGTGTAGCACCAAAAAGCGTTCTGCTATTGTTATGGTGTCAGGTTTATAACAGAAGAACCCTTTTTGGTGCTACATAGAACCCTTTCAAAAAGGTTCTGTATAGAACCATATACAACCATTTCACCATTCAAGAACCATTTGTGCTTGAAATAGTTGTATAGAACTCATGTTTCTACATAGAACCACTACCTTTACTGAAGAACCCTTGAGGAACCATCTCTTAAGTGTGTATGACGAGAGCTTATATATCTATATAAAAAATTGTCATTTGTCATTAAATGTGCTGAAAACATGAAAAGAAGAGTGGGAGATAAAGTCATGGATAAATGAGGGGCTGCTGTTTTTAGGCAGGCCTACTCATCAGTTTAGTTTAGAGTGTGGGTGAAAACATCTACTGAGGGTCAGTTTACTGGACATCCAAGTTATCAGAGTCTAGAATTGGACTATGCTGCTGTTCCAGCTGAGATGTATCACTGATCTTTATTAGTGAAGCCTTAGGGCTTCTGTTTAGTTATTGTAATTTACTGTATATAACACATTATATGCATTTAAACTGTGCTTACATACATTTGAAACTTGTCTAGGATACAATTTAGTGGGTTTAGTTCAGTGGCAGCTACATTTTGGTGGGTTTAGTTCAGTGGCAGCTACATTTTGGTGAGTTTAGTTCAGTGGCGGCTACATTTTGGTGGGTTTAGTTCAGTGGCGGCTACATTTTGGTGGGTTTAGTTCAGTGGCGGCTACATTTTGCTGGGTTCAGTTCCGTGGGGGTTACATTTTGGTGGGTTTAGTTCAGTGGCGGCTACATTTTGGTGGGTTTAGTTCAGTGGCGGCTACATTTTGGTGGGTTTACGTTTTAGTGGGTTTAGTTCAGTGGCGGCTACATTTTGGTGGGTTTAGTTCCGTGGGGGTTACATTTTGCTGGGTTTAGTTCAGTGGCAGCTACATTTTGGTGGGTTTAGTTCAGTGGCGGCTACGTTTTGGTGGGTTTAGTTCAGTGGGGGCTACATTTTGGTGGGTTTAGTTCAGTGGCAGCTACATTTTGGTGGGTTTAGTTCAGTGGCAGCTACATTATGGTGAGTTTAGTTCAGTGGCGGCTACATTATGGTGAGTTTAGTTCAGTGGCAGCTACATTATGGTGAGTTTAGTTCAGTGGCAGCTACATTATGGTGAGTTTAGTTCAGTGGGGGCTACATTTTGGTGGGTTTAGTTCCGTGGGGGCTACATTTTGGTGGGTTTAGTTCAGTGGGGGCTACATTTTAGCAGGTTTACTTTACAGTTCTAACCCTGGGACAAATTATTCTCTTATTATGTGATGGCTTATGCAGCTCTTATAATACATAACATGTATTTGACAGTAGCTAGGTACCCATGTGCATATTTGTATGGGTGTTTTAACATATTGTATAAAAAGAACGTGATGTAAATGGCAGTCATTGGAGAAAAAAAAATCTGCACAAAAATGTAGTCGCTTACTTAAGTTTTGAATGTTTTTTATTTTGAATAAACAATATTAATAATATAGATATGAGTATAATAGTCATATAACTGATCAGGTGTGTCTGTTTTTGTGGCCGCAGCTACAAAACATGACAGAACTCGGCACATTCCAGTAAAGCGACGAAGATATCAAACCGTATCTTTATCTCATCATAAAACATGATGGTGATATTTGATGGTTAACAGACAGAAAATGGTGCAGATGATCAGTGAAGTCATTCTGTTAGCCAGTGCGCTCTTACGATGTAACATACAGCCGTGAAATTAAGCAAAACAGAAATCGGAGCAGCTCGGTATTAAATATTGCTCTAAATATATATGGAATGTTTTTATCAATGTGGTGTAGAGTTTAATCCTTTTGTACAGAACTGATTGCCCAATTTACGTACATCTTCACAGCATTTCAGTTACTCACTTGAATTTGATTGGCCTGCTGGACTGAAAGCTGGCTGTAACATTTTGAATGATTACACTAATAAGTATTGTCTTCTCCTCCAGAGTTACGCCCCGTCTGCTCTGCACGGCGGCCCAGCAGAAGAGCTCTGGAGCGGGATCGGAGGAGGAGAATGGAGCACAGAAACCCGAACCACCCGCCGCAGAGAAGGTCTTAACTGAGGAGAAAGCTCAGCTGGAGGAACAGGTCAAAGAACTCACGGTGAGAGGAGACCACAACCTGTCGTTCAGCTGAAAACATTATCGTTCCTATTAGGACTGTGAAAATGAATCAGTATGATCTGAATGTGGTGATTCAACTGCATCAGTTTTAGAATATTAAAATTGATTATAATATTCAATAAAAACATTATATTTTTTTGCCAAAATGTACTTCTTGTGCTATTTTCAAACAAACACTTGTATTATTATCTTCATGACACTACTGTTTGTTTATTCATCATATTTTTAAAAATTGGTTCATATCATAACGATCAAGTCAGTCGAGACTTCATGAAGCATTTTCTAAAGAATTATAACTTAATTAAGATGATTATTGATTAAGTTACATTTTGGTAGGGTTAGTTCAGCGGCGGCTACGTTTTGGTAGGTTTGGTTCAGTGGGGGCTACATTTTGGTGGGTTTAGTTCAAATGTGGCCACATTTTGGTGGGTTTACTTTAGTGGGGGCTACATATTGGTGGGTTTAGTTCAGTGGTGGCTATATTTTGGTAGGTTTGGTTCAAGGATGGCCACATTTTGGTGTGTATTTAAAATAAAAAACAAACAGGTTCTGTTAAAGTTCAGTAGGTCAGCACTCTGTTCCAGCAGAGTCCAGTAGGTAAATGAAGCAGTTCTGTAGTGCTGGCTGTCTGACAGCTGCTCTAATGCTGGATTAACCTGTGTTTGGTTGCAGGACAAATACAAGCGGGCGCTGGCCGACACAGAGAACATTCGGCAGAGGAGTCAGAAGATGATAGATGAGGCTAAGCTGTATGGTAAGTCAGTTACAAACACTATGACTGAAACGGGGACAGATCTGTAGTAAACATCCCAGGAATGCTAATAAATGAAAATGTGCATTGGCCACAATTATGAACTTGAGTCATGTTAACAGATCCCCTCTAACTTCTGATTATCGTTTGCTACATTGGCAGGTTTAGGTAGGGGTTCATTTAATGCTTCAATACCTGAGCATTACATTTTTATCGGCCCATCAAGCTTCTATAGTCTACGAACTGTTGTGCATTTTTAGGGTTAATATTATAATCAGGATCGGGTCTGATTTACTGAAAGTTTCTCAGTGTTTGTTGCAGTCACGCTAGAAATTTGCAGTTTGTGTCACCTTGGGAAATGAGTGTCATCAAGGCAGAGCTAGAAGATTAGCGTTGAATAAAATCCTCTATTTTGTTTGAGGTAGCGATTTAGCAGTGACTTAGTATGATAACATGGCTGAAGATGTTCTGGTGAGAATGATGAAACGCTGGAGAAGGTAGTTTTAGCTCTTTGAGCTAGCTAGCCATAACACCACCAGCAGAAACATCAGTAAATTTGGTTGCACCGTCTAATCTAGCCTCCCAGCTGACCATGTGCACCATGCTGCCTCTTTTATTTAAGGCCAGTTGGGACTAATTTTATGAATATGTGTGCTTAGGCTTGGGGTGTGAAGTTCATGTACACTTCATGTGTAGGGTTAAAAAAATGGTCCTCAATATACTATATGAACAAAAAGTATTGGGGAACCTACACATTACAGGGGCATTTGACATCCCATTCTAAATCCATAGGCATTAATATGGAGTTGGTCCCACTTTGCAGCTCTAACAGCTTCCAATCTTCTGGGAAGCTTCTACAAGATGTTGGAGAGAGTCTGTGGGAATTTCTGCTCATTCATCCAGAAGAGCATTTGTGAGGTCAGACGCTGATGTTGGACGAGAGGGTCTGGCTCACAATCTCCGTACTAGTTCATCTCAAAGGTGTTTGATGGGGTTGAGGTCAGGGCTCTGTGAGGGTCAGTCAAGTTCTTCCACACCAAACTCACCCAGTCAGGCCTTTATGGAGCTGCTTTGTGCACTGGGGCTCAGTCAGGCTGGAACTGAAAAGGTTCTTCCCGAAACTGTTCCCACAAAAATAGAAGTGTGCAATTGTCCGAAATGTCCTGTTCTGCTTAAGCATTAAGATTTCCCTTCACTGGAACTAAGGGTTCTAGACCAACCCCTGAAAACAACCCCATATCATCATCCCTCCTCCACCAAACTTTACAGCTGGCACAGTGCAGTCAGGCAGGTAACGTTCTCCTGGGATTCGCCAAACCCAGACTCGTCCATCAGACTGACAGAGAAGCGTGATTTGTCATCATTCTACTGCCAGTGTTTGTCTATCAAGACTGCAAGGCTGTGTGCCTAATTTTATCCACTTGTTAGCAATGGGTGTGGCTAAAATGTGAACTCAGTAATTAGGAGGGGTGTCCACATACTTTTGTCTATATAGTGTAAATGTAGCTTTTGTTTTTAAAGTTTGGCTGTCTAGAAGACGTAAAGGCTGCAAATCACTGGAACGTGTCTGAAATATTGCTAAACGTTAAATAAACCTGGCCGATATCTCTCACTGTTTTTAGGAATCCAAGGCTTCTGCAAAGATCTTCTGGAGGTGGCCGACATCTTGGAGAAGGCGACGCAGAGCGTGCCGAAAGAGGAAGTGAGCTCTGAGAATCCGCACCTGAAGAACCTGTACGACGGGCTGGTGATGACGGAGGTTCAGATCCAGAAGGTCTTCTCTAAGCACGGTCTGGTGAAGCTGGACCCCGCTGGGCAGAAGTTCGACCCTTATGAGCACGAAGCCCTCTTCCACACCCCCATCGAGGGCAAAGAGCCCGGCACAGTCGCATTGGTCACCAAAGTAGGCTACAAGCTTCACGGCCGAACCCTCCGGCCGGCCTTGGTGGGTGTAGTGAAAGCCCCCTAGGTGAAAGACCCCTAATTGACTTATGTATGGCCTGCTCACAAATTTGTTCTTTCTAAGCAACTGTTGCCGAGTTGGACAAGCTTTACAGAACCCTGGGAAAAATCCCATTCAGCCTAATGAGAAACTGTAGAGCAGACTCAGTTTATATCACAATACCTACATTTAGAGTCAGTTAATTTCAGATGGTTTTTATTTTGCATGAATGATCAGGACAGACTGGGTCTGTTATTTTGGAGGTTTTTAGCTGTAAACATATGGTTGATAGTCTTGCAGAAAGATTGTTGGTTTTCCGTTACTCATTATCTTAAATGGGATTTTTTCCAGCGTTCTGGAAAGCTTATCCAAATTAGCGACACTAGCTATGAAAGAGCACATTGGTGGGCGGAGCCTGGGTAGGTCATTTGGTTTCGTTTTGTTGCAGTAAAGGACAGCGGAGAACGAGCCGTCCAGTCTTTGTGCTGCTGAAGAGGCTGGACTCTAACTTCACAATGACGACCAACAGTACGGATTATAGTGGACTGATTCAACTTTGAATTTCTCTATGAATAGTGAAGAATATAATTTATGATTATGATCATTCGAGTGCATTTTGGAGAGTGGAGAGTGGCAGATGGTGAAAGATACATGGTGATAGATGGTGGCTTGAAAACCCTCTAAGTCTGGGAGGAGTAGGCATAATCACAACAGCGGTGATCATTCAAGAAATGCATTTTGTATCCTTAGAAACTTTCAAGTTTTTATACATTTAAGACACTTTTGGACTAAAAAGGTCTTAAAATTCTGTAGATATAGTCTGTTATCTCAGCGTAGATCCTCATCCTGCATACAAAACCTCTTCAGTTTAAGGCAGTGAAGCAAACGTTCAAGGCACGATTGATCATTTTTCCTGCCCTAACACATCTATTCAACTCTTGAAGGCTTTAATAATTACCTGATTGATTTGGTTAGTTTGTTAAAGCAGGAAGAGTACAAATCTGTGCTAAAATTGATTAGCACAGTCGGCTAATTCAGCTAATTGGGTTACATCTTCAAAACCATGATTGATCATTCCTGCTTCAGAAGTGACCGCCAGCCTCCCCCTTATTAATGCATAGTATATATTCCGGTAACACTTTATTTGGAGAGTCCAAAGTTGATACTTAATTTACTTTCAAGTTATATTCAACTAAATATCTACTAGATTGACCCTAACCTCAACCTCAACCCAAAACCTAAACCCAACACTCACCCTGGTCCTAGCCCTAACCCTGGTCCAAATCCTATCCCTAACCTTAACCTCAGCCCAAAACCTAAACCCAACCCTCACCCTGGTCCTAGCACTAACCCTGGTCCAAATCCTATCCCTAACCTTAACCTCGGCCTAAAACCTAAACCCAACCCTCACCCTGGTCCAAATCCTAACCCTAACCCTAACCTTAACCTCAACACCTAAACCCAGCCCTCACTCTGGTCCTAGCCCTAACCCTGGTCCAAATCCTAACCCTAACCCCACCACGGTTTAGAATCAACAGATTGTCAACAGATATTTTGTTAAGAATTTGAATATCTGTAGATCATCTATAGTGGACTGTCCAAATAAAGTGAGACCCATATTCCTGATACAGATCTGCTTTAAATATGTTTAGTATGAATTTGATCACATTGTTATGGGAAAATCAGAAAGATTGGTTGAATGAAGTCTAAACACTCAATGAACTGGACCTAGTGATTCCTGTCAGTCTATCAAAACAGTATAATCCATGTACAGTTTTGAAGCTCGAGTTAAATTAAGATAATTGGTATAGAGATGGTTTTAATGGCTGCTGACATTCTTGAAAGCCAAAAAAGCCACATTTCTTCTGCTGTATCCATGTATTTTTCCCTGTGTTGCTAGCTTGCTGAAAGGAGGAGCTCAGCTGGAGAGGCTAATGTTGCTAACAGGGAAAGTGAACAGCCACCAGTTAGCAGTACGCTAATGACCATGCTAACTGGGGGTGCTATTTTCTATGAAGTCATTGTTAAGCTTGTTAGCATGTCTGGTTGAGCTGCTCCTTAAAGTGCACTCGGATCTCAGAACAACACTTTAGCATATGCTAATTGCTAACACGCAGGTTTGTCGACCATTGCTCCTGGAGATCTAACTCTAGGTTCTAGCTCTAATTTAGCACACTCGCTCAAGCTAATCAACTTGAGGATTACCCGGTGTTGTAGGGTTACATCTTCAGAACCGTGGTTGGTCATTCTTGCTCCTGAGAAGCTGCCGTCAGCTTCAGATTCCTGTTCTTCCCCATTTTTATGTATCTGTATGTTTCTTGGTTTGTCTGAGATAAATTACTGGACCTAATTGTATTTTTTTTTCATAGATCCATCAATAAACATGTTTGAAATAGGACAATATCTCAAGTTTGGGTTCAGTTAGCTATAGCTGAAGCGTGGATGACTCAATTAGAGAGGTGATTCCCAAGCATGACCTATATATCCCAACTATTCCACATTTTTGTGGATTTCCAGCCCCAGTGCCAGGTAATCCATTGGTTTAAACAGTTGTATTTTCATGGTTAACCTAATGGATTAGCAGGTTTAGGTGTGTAGAAGACTGACTAGCCAGCTGGCTCAAGTATGTAGGCTGTAGAACGGAGATTAGCGACCTGGCTCAGGTAATATTGGGGTTTGGATTAGAACATCAGGATTGAGAACGTCTGGATTAGAAACTTGGACAAGCATCATCCTGTATCTCAACAGTGGTTCCTGATCCCACTTTTGGGCCTCTATGTTCTGAATATTCATGTTTTTATTGTTCTAATAAGCCTGAAAACACAAATACGCAGATCTGGTGTTGAGAACACTTGGTTGGCTGAGTCCAGCGCTGGAAGATCCTCAGTATATTTACATTATTTACAGTGACACGTGGACGTTAGCCGGACGGTAACGTTTCTTAGTAAAATGATGTAAAGAGATGGTCGGAATGGCTGAATTATTTGATTTTGGGTTTCTTTTAGGACTTTGAATGCTTCACTCAGAAATGCTCAAGAGCAGACTGCAAATTGATCACCAAGTCTGTTTTCTTAGCTATTTTCCCATTGACCTCCTTGATGATCTCTAAAAGACACAAGGATTCAATCAGAATCAGAGACCATGTTGGTAAACTTCCTTTCCAAGTCAAACTTTACTGGTGAAGTTTGCAGGTCTGTGGCCACCAACCATCCTTGTGAATGTCCATCTCACTTTATTAATTCCAGCTAATGGAGGATTGCATGATTGTATATTATCATTATCTTGATAAAATACTCTTCTCTGAGTTTATGATGGGTAAGATCAGTACTTCAAGGACACTGAACACCTGCTGGGATCATAAAAAAGATCTAGACCAAATATAGAGAGCATATAAACAACAACTGGCATAGTTACTGAATAAGCTAATAGCTAATACTAGTAATGATAACTAGAAAGCGAAAGTTTGTGAACAAACTTTAAGTTGGCTTGAAAAAGCTGGCTAATTACGTTAAAACGGTGACTGGTTAAAAAAAAATGGTTAAAATGAAGACTGTTGATGGTTGTTAAAATGTTGCTAAGCAGATGCGTTGCTAGGTGCTACCGTAAATGAAGTTCCACCTTAAATTCACTGAATTTAAAGTGGAACTACACTTTAAGGTGCCACCTTAAATTCTGTGCCACCATAAAAGAAGTTCGACCTTAAATTCTGTGCCACCTTAATTTTAGTGCTGTTAATTGCAGTTCCACCTTAAATTCTGTGCCACCTTAATTTTAGTGCTACATTAAAGAGAGTTCCACTTTAAATTCTGTGCCCCCTTAAATTTAGTGCTAGGTTAATGATGATATTTTTTTTACTGGAGCACTTTTATACTGGTAGCACCTCAAAGTACTTAATGGACAGGTGACAAAATAATAAAAATAAAGTTGAGTTTAGTGATTTTCTTTGGTAACTTTACTATTCACTAATAATAAATTTGAATAAATAAAAGTTAAAAGTATCAGTTGAGCTAATCTGAAACAGACAGATGTTCAAAAAGGCAAATTCAAAATAAAATTTTAATTAAAAGCTAAATTACAGAGATGTTTTCAATGTTTTGAAATGTGGAACTGAGCTTCACGGTCTAATAAAAGGTTTAGAAGCAGAACAACACAAAGACCCTCCACTTTTTCTCAAAATCACTGATCTGATTTTATACACACACATTTTCTAAGCCGCTTATCCTTCTGGGTCACGGGGGCAGCTGGAGCTGGAGGCCTACCCTACAACACATGATCCAGCTAAGCTGCGTCCGCTGAAGGTCATGTGAATGTCATAACCGGACAGGAAACACATAGTACTGCACTAGACAGCGTTTTAAAACTAGTACGCTGCATTAAAATCCATTCATTGGTTTAGTAAGTACAGTTTAGCTGTATGTGGCTCCTGAAAAATATAGACTTGGGTTGGAATGTTTGAACTGAACTGACTTGACCTCCTTGTGAAGGTCAATCTTCAGAAGGACGGTTGGTGGTTACTGTGCTATCTAAATAGTATATGAAATATGAAAGAGCATCAGGCCCCACTCTCCAATATCTTCCTATGTTTTTTTCTCAAACACATTCTTAAGAAAAGGTCTACGTCAGATTCATGACGTGCTCTTAAAGGGCAGCCAAGATACACCATATGGACAAAAGTATTGGGACACCTACACATTACATCTACAGGAGCTTTTATGAATCCCATTCTAAATCCATAGGCATTAATGTGGAGTTGGTCCCTCTTTGCAGCTATAACAGCTTCCACTCTTCTGGGAAGCTTCTACAAGATTTTGGAGTGTCTGTGGGAATTTTTGTCCACTTATCCAGAAGAGCATTTGTGAGGTCAGACACTGATGTTGGACGAGAGGGTCTGGCTCACAATCTCTGTTCTAGTTCATCCCAAAGGCGTTCGGTGGGGTTGAGGTAAGGGGTCTGTGAGGGTTAGTCAAGTTCTTCCACTCCCAGCTCGCCCCACCATGTGCCCCAATACTTGTGTCCATATAGTGTACGTATGGTGTCTGAAGTTTGCCTCTTTAGCTGTAGCACTGCTAATGAGCAGTGAAGTCTGCTTTTTTTCTTTAATAAAATTTCTATTATATAAATTT